CATAACTTCTCTAGGATGCCCATTATTATTTAAAGATCAAAATTTTCAGGAATCACGTATAGCTAGCTTAGAGAAGGTTCATTGTACAAAAACAGAATTCAAATATTTTCATAAATGAAGCCACCATAGTTATTAAATATAATATACAGTTTACTTATATTCAGAATTCAGAACTTGAATAAATTTCTCGAACTGTTTTAGCATTCGGAAAATATTATATTTATTACCTTAAATTTCTAAAACAATATTACATATTCGTCCGAAAAATAACTGGGACTCGGACAACATTTTCTCCCTAGCTTTCTTTTAGCATAGGATTCTGAATATGTTTTAATGATTTAGGTAATGTTTGTCTTCCTTAAGGCGCTCACAAAACAAGTTACCCTAAATGTTTTGTCCGCATAGTGGTCATTTTCATCTTACTAACTGATTTGCTAGTGGATTTTGGGTGCATGGTCTATCATTGATGAAACAATAATAGTGAACAGCTTCAAGAAAATGGGGATATCTAATGCTCTTGATGCCATATTCCCACTTATTATTTACTAATTTTATCTTCCGAAAATTAAGAGGGAAAAATTAAACGAATAATTTAATTTCCAAAGGACACAGTCACAGTAGGAATATAACAAATGAAAAGTAATCATGGATAAACTACCACTATCACAATATTATTTATTTAAAAGAAACCTCTATTTCAATAAGAATACACATAATTGCAACATCTAATAAGTTATCTCATTTCTTCTTTATAATTTGAACTTCTGTCATTCTCATTGTTGTTCTTGCAAATCCTTAGGCCTCAGATCATACATAAATAATTAGAGAAGGTTGTGGTCCGATGCTTGCTAGGGTGAACATTCAGCTGATATGGCAAAATTGCACAGTGAATGGCAGTTGGTATTTGCTTTCACTATCATAGATCATTTTTTGTATTAGGCTGACATAATATTCAACAGTTAGAAGAGAAAGATTCAACGGGGCCTTTAGTGTGCAAAAGTTTGCCTTTGTTAGTATGACGAAAACAATCATTATGTTGATAAATCCATTTTAAAATCTTGGGATATTTCATTTTCTGAATGCATTAAAAAGGGGGAAAATTATGTAAATATTTTAATTTTCAGAATCTGTTTCTAAAGCTGGGTGGGGTGGAATATGCAACGCAATACGGTAATTCTGAAGATCATTGCTCGTGGCAGTACAAACTAAACGGTGATAACTTGCATGCTGTAGAAGACACAAATTGCAGTTCCAGATGCATTAAATGCTTTGAGGTCTAGGCAGTAGCAGTGGACAATACTAAGAGTGAAATTCAAGGTATAGGGAAGTAGGAATGAAAATTACTTTTATCAGATAACTTAAATGGTTATGTTACTAAGCGTTCTTATTGGAATGTAGTTTCTTTTAAATAATAATACGTTGATAGTTACCAGTAGTTCATTCATGAATATTTTTGATTGGTTATGATCTTATTGTAATCACATCGTTCAAAATTAAATTGATTGCTTAATTTCCCCCTTGATTTTCATACTATAATATAAAAAGGAGGAAAAAAGTCTGCAAGTAAACATAACTCCTCTTTCTCTCTCTATATATAGGACATGTATCTTCGTGTGCAACTAAGCAAAACAAATGTGACTTTTTCTTCTTTAAAAAAATTGTGTAAATAAATAGGATGAGAATTAAGTTCATTTCAAAGACTTATGACACATGAAATATACATGATCAAAATAAATTAAAAAATTTAGTTCAAATAAATTTTAAGCTAAATTACGTGTTGCAATGTAAGTTGCAATAATTCAGTTGTAATAATTAATAATAACAAAACATCATATTCCCATTCTGCAAAGTATAAAAATTCTTCTGCAAAACTGAAAAATGACCAACACTTTGGCTTATTTGATAACTTTCAAATTCACTCCTTCGTTTGCATTTAGAATTTATAACTTTAATTTTCCACAGAAATTTGTTTTTGATTTTAAAAAATTTCACTGGCATAATTTCATTCTCTTCAGCATATATTAATAGATGCAGAAGGTTTTTGTACCGTACATAATTTTAAATCTTATGTAAACTAACGTAATTAATAACAAAATCAAAACATAGATCAGAAACTGCATAAAATTTAATTAATAATTACTACTAGTGTCACACGAAATGCTATGAAATTAATTAATAAAATAAGAATGAGATAAAATATATAGAATTAATATTCCACATGTGTGAAGTTTGGAAGTTTTACGTTAAATATTTTTTTTTAATTAAGTATTTTTAAAAATGACCCCTTAAAGCATGGGACCTTTCGTAATTAGAACTTGCAAATCCACTTCGCTAGTCTTTCCTAACATTGCTTTTCTTTTATTAACAAGAAATATTGCATTCAGTTATTTAATTTAAGATATAAAAAATAATGCTACTGAAAGGCATGAATACTTACTTAAATTTGAAATTAATTTGGTTGACTTAAAATAATATTTAAAAAAATAAATCTTCATATATACGTCTAAAAATCAGAGCTTATTAATTTTCTTTTATTTGAACGATATCTGAATTCTGCCTTAGTTTGGACTAGTAAATCATTGGGCAATTAAATGCCAAGCTATAAGAGAACTAATGTAGTTTACAAATGCACTGAATTTTATTTCCGGTATTAACTTTCAAAGAAAGTAAAATTTTCTGCATATTTGCATCATTTGGATTGATAGAATATGGCAAAGGCTATCAGCCTAAAGGGAAGTATATATTCATGGGCGGTTTTGTAAGGAAAAGTAGCTTGCATTTCCATTTATTCATGTGTTTATATATATATATATATATATATATTTACATTGTTAATGCTAAAATCAATGCTTCATTAAAAATTCATTATTATTTTATTTTTAATACACACATACAGATACAGAATTGTTTTAAATTCCAATAAACAATAATAATTTATTTTTAAGGAAACTTATTTTATGATTTATATATTATATTACATGAATAAGAGAAACATTTGTCAAGAAATATTATTAAACTTGTATTAGCAGATTCATGCTATCCTAGTAACAAGACTATCATACTTCAAAACTGTATTAAAACTGGGCAAAATAAAATCAACATAAATTCTACATTAAATGTTTAAAAACTTATAAGTATGCAATGGTAGTTATATATACAATATAATATATGTTGTCATTTATAAAATATTAATGAAATGGTATTTTTGGAAATAATGCACAAAGTTTTAGTTTTGTTTTATAATTAGTTTAACGAATTGTTAGAAAAATATTTTAGGTCATTTCCATTTTTCCCCTGTTGATATTGGTATATTAAAATATATGGAATAATTAAGTTGAATCTAGTTAGTAAAACAAAACATTACGAAAAGTATGATACGGCATATTTTTAATCAATATAATTACTTTATTTTGAAATTATAATATTTTCGTAAATTAATACCACTGAAAAAAATATTATTACACTAAAGGAATAAACGAGATTCTCGACCGCGTTGTTCAAGTTTTTGTAATTTTACTTCATAACACACTCGTACATAAACATATTAGACTGAATTATAAACCAGGTATAACTAATTAGGTAATCCTAGAAAAAGAATAAACTAAACCTAGTAAGCAAAAAAATATATACATTACATTCAGAATTCTAAATGTTTATATAAACGTTTCTCGCAAGGCCTGCCGGGAAAAAGATGTCAAACGTTCTTTGGTCAGACGATTGGAAAAGAACGCTAACATGATTAGTTTTGTTTTCAACAACCACATTACCATTTCAATTAAATACCACAAACAGTGATTAAATTTTGGAATAATTAGTTTTAAATAATAATACGGGCAATTTAAGGCGTAATTTATCGGATGCACAATGACAAAATACTACTATTAGATCTGCATTTGGAATAAATATTTTGCACTCTTTCAACTCATTAGACATTACGAACACTGATATTAATTAATCGCAAAGCTTAAACGTTTAAATGCTTACTCACTACATATAACAGTGCAAAGTGCATGAGAATAATCTGCATAAAATAAACAAAAAATATTTCAAGTAGTAATTGTAAACATTTTCTTACTTACCTGCGCTATACAACCAATATGCATTCAGCCATGTTTTTTTCTGCAACTAGCTTTCAAACACTTTTCTCCTGATTGGCTAATTTCCAGTCAGTCACGTGATTCTTCCGCGCGGCTACTGAAACATTATCTGTAATGCTACAAGCAAATCAGCTGTTACCGCTACAGTTTGCTTTCAACCTGTTACCATTACAGGAAATTCTTGTGTAACTTTTTGATTTCTGTAACTTTACAAAACTTTTGCCTGTAAAGAGCGAACTTTTTTTTTACCGTGTAATCTCTTAAAGCCATAAGCCAGTTTTCAGCACAGATATGTTTTAGGAATTTCAAAGAATCTAGCGTAGAAAAAGAATTAAAAAAAAAAAAAGAAACTAACAAATCTATAGGGAAAGAAAATTAGACAGCGTATTATGAACTCAATATTTTCTCTTAAACTAGTCTATAAATTAACTGGCAGAAATGCACTAAATGCTAATGAAAAGCATGTGCAGAATGAAGTTTTCGAGTGAGAGACATGATATTTTGAAATCTGGACTGATATTTCTAAGGGCACAAAAGTGGAACATATCAATTTAAAATATAATGTGTAGCAGGCGGTGTCTACAATGATAACTTAACTTTTTTGAATTATTATTAATTTTTTTACAATAAGATCCGAAAAATATAAGATTGTCCGTATGTATGGAATTCAGAGTTTATGTACTTCGCATGTATTAATTTTTCTGGAAAACTGTTTAGTTGGGTACTGCAGGTTGTGGATTTTAAGGACTTGCATGGCAAACTCTGGAATAACATATGAACTTTACTGAATATGGAGCAAGTTCTGGGAATATTTATTAATAACTAAATAGACAAAGCTTTTATTATACTCTTTTAATGCTGTTACTGTTATATGATAATAATTTTATTACAATCTTTTTTTAGGGAACGGTTGGTGTTTTAAAGAAGAAGCTCGTTGTTTAAATAAATATTGTATTTGGAAAGGACTACTTTGTGATGGACACAACAACTGCGGTGATCTAAGTGATGAAGTTGATAAAAAAACTTCTCATTGCGGTAAGTTTTCCTTTGTAATAATCTCAGGAACTCGATAATTTAACGAATTATTCATTAATTTATATTGAATAATTTAATGAATAATAATGAAGTTTAGAATATATTCAAAGTAAGATAGTTTATGCTTCTAATGATGTTTCTAATCATGAATAGGTACTCATGCTGTGCATTTTAAGGGCAAGTGATGTTGCAAGTCTAGCATTAAATGATATAAACTAACATTCTATTTTTCTAACAATTTTTAAAAGGTTCTAGCTAAGTTATTGTGTAAAGAAATAAATAATAAACAAATCTTGCAGTTTTCACGATTTTTGCTAAAGAGACTGAATCGTAATCGAGTTAATGCATTTATAAAACAGTATGACTGCTCTGATAGCTTTACAGTTCTGTCAACATTCTCTTAAATCTTGCTATAATAATATTACTTCAAAACACAATGTTGTGACAAATCTGATGGATCTGTGGATCCCATAAATGGTCTTTGTCCAGATCTTTCAGGCTTCAGTTGCTATAAACTCGGAAAAAAGGATGATGGTTACAGATACCGTTTTCCTTATAATCTTCCTAAACTATTTCCATATTAAAAAATCTTTTCTGCAATAGGAAACTTAAAAGACTTTTGCTGTAGAAATAAATAATAATCAGCAGAAAGCATTCACCATTCGCTTTGGGTTCGTTTCTTGGTAAAGTAATTCTCATTGTTTTCTCTTTTGTAACTAAAGCCAATGTCTTTAATTAGAAACTCCATTGGGAAAAGCATATCCTTTCTAAAGAATATAACAATTTGCGAACTTAATTAATTTATCTTGTCTTTTAAGATATAGAGCTTTCTTGTCTAGAAACCCTACTGGCAATTCTAATATAAAAGAAAATCATTGATTAAAGGTCTGTGAAACGGTAATTATTCCGATTTAACATCAATTGGGAGGGACAATGATATTCTCTCGAAATAATGATTATTAGAATTATAAGATATTTTCTCCTTCTTTTCCGCTTGCCTTTGTGGTGTAACTGGAAGCACACTCGACGCTTAATCGAGAGGTCCAGGGTTCGATTCCCAGCGATTCCCACTTTTCACTTATCGAGCATAGAAGTAACTCATGTTCCTGCAGTGGCGCCCGAACTAAAAGGTGGTGGACGATTATTGTCACCACCAGGGATTGTCGATTGGGTTTCCTAATCTCCAGTCGCCCTTTAAAAGGGGGAGAATATTAGGCATTTTCTCCCTCCTTTCCCCACGCCTTCGTGGTATAATTGGAAGTATACTCGACTCGTATTCGAGAGGTTAAGGTTTCGAGTCTCGGTGGCCTAATTCGCTAGTGCACATCAGCGTAGCCACTAAGGGAGGTGTTTCGAAAATGGACCAATGAGCTTCTATTGCTCTTGTGACAGTGATTCTTTAATACTGGGCTTATGAGTGTGTGTTGTTTACGTTTTAATTTGCATTTGTTTCAGAGTTATAAATGCTTGGCGTAATAGTAGAAATTCTCGCAGTGCTTTCGCTTTATGAGTTTATTTAATTACTGGCATTTCACTTTCGCAATTTTTATCACGTACTGATATTCGGACTGATGTCTGCGGCGTATTATCGCTCTCGCTAGAGAAAATGACTCAAGATACAATTAGCTTCGAATATTATGCATTTACTAGCATCTATGGATTAAGAGAGTTCAAGTCTATATTTTTTTATTTATTAAGCTGAGAAGGACTGGAAGTGTTACAATGAATCAAGTATACTTGCATTCTTTTGATTTTGAAAGTAAATAACACGCAACACACACACATTTTTATACACACTATATATTTTGAAAGTCTAAATATATATTGTGTATCATCTGATTATATCTGTTGTAACATTAAAAGTTATATATAAATAAATTAAATATATTCTTTGTGAATAAGATAAATTCATTCTGTTTAAAAAGTATTTCTTGTGCAGACAATACATTTAAAACTTAACAGTTATTAAATGTGAAATTTAACACACTAAATGTATAGATATCCAAATAAATATTCATGGCAAATTTAATATGACAGTAGTATCGCAATGTTTTACCTTAGTAATCTGAAAGTCAGTTAGACTGTACTTTTCAGTCTAGCATAATTTTTAAGACGCTTACACACACATATATATAGAGAGATATATAATGTGTAGTGTTTTAAAAGGTAGTTTAATATTGAATTAAAATAATTTAATAGAAATTAATACAGAAGAAATTTACTTATGGAAATAAAGTTTTAAATAGCAGTAAGCAACTGCAGCAGCACGAATGAAATTCCTAAAAGAAACTGAGAAACCATATTTTGATCTGTGGATATGTATTTCAAGTTCTTTTCAACTTGACATAGTATTCACAACATCAAACTAATTCTGATGAACTATGAGTAATTCTAATTAAAATAAAATTCTATTTTTACACATTGTTCGTACCTTTTGGTACAGCTATAATTCTGCTTAAATAGTAGTAATATTTTTAATTTCTAAAAATAAAATTTTTCTTCTTTTTGTTGCATAGTTTTTCTCTCTGCAAAACAACAGCATTCATAATATTTTAAGCAGTATATTTATGTCTGAATAATTAAATGAATCTGGATTAAATGCTATTTCTTCATGCAGATGTATAATAATAATAATATGCAATTTCATAATTTTAATGAAAGTTTTTAAATTACTCTCAATAAATTTCTGCAATTGGATTTAAAAACTGTAAGACGCTTTTTATTCCAAATATATAGAAATATATGTTTTTTCATCTGAAGTAAATGCAGTAACTGAAAGAAATTTTTACAATCACCATTTCGCAATTCATTACCCTTAAATACGAAATGTTACATAAGTGTTATAGAACTTGTAAATTTATGCACATACCTTTACATTACGATATGAAGAATACTCACAAATGTAGTTCTTTGAAAACAGAAACCGAGTTTGATCAGTCTAAGTTTTGCGGGATATCCGAAATGAGCTTGTATTTCTTTCAAATTTTTTCAGCCAGGTAGTGTGAAATCTTAGCAATTGCTTATATTTGATCTAACTTCGCAATGAAATTTTTCTGAAGAAATTGCTTTAATTTTTTTGTATAGGAAATTGCGTGGCAAAATGTTTTCAACCATCTTGCTTAAAGCTCGCCAATGGTCATTTGACATGATAGAAATATTATTGGAAACCCATTGAGCCATCCTAGAAGCCAATCCCTCAGTGGCTATACATATGTGCATTTGTGAAATATGCGTCCTGGCGAGGGCAGTGCACATTTTTCACATCTCCTGCTTCAAAATAAATTAATGACTCCTGAATAAGATTATGATATGACCTCTGTGACACTAATGGGTCAAAATCGAGTTCTGAGATATTTGAAGCAAAAGTGTATGCTTCCTTTTACCACAGTTCTACAGAGCTAATAAGAAATTTTATCTTTCCTTACTGCTTGCCTTAATTGGAATAATTGTATATTATATTATTAAATATTGTATTGTGGTATAATTGGAAGCATATCCCGCTGACAGAGTTCGAATTCCGAAGAAGGCATCGGCGATTATTCCTGTTTCCTGCTCCGAAATAAAATTAAAGACTTTATAAGCTCATTGTTTAGGCCAGACGGAAACATTCAAACTTAGTTTTCAAAACGATCTTCATTTAATTAGAAGAGTAGTTCATCCTTTCTAGGATTTAAAGAAAATCTGAATTCTGTCTGAAGTCATGCATTAAACAGCCAAGAAATACTGACCTTCAATGTTTATGCAATTTAAATTAGGTATAAATAAACGATGATGATGAGTATTTAATAAAACCTGCTGAATTCTGTTAATTATATTTAAACTAGCTAAATTTCTATTATTTATATTCTTGCACCTCGGATGAGTAATCGTATTTAAGCGAGTAAGACAAAGGCCAGACTGCGCTAGATGGATTTTTAGTTTGAGCATTTCAAAACGGCAAATCTTACAAGATATTTATTATTAGATAAAGTTAAAATCTTTAAAAACGTGGTTCAAGATTCTACAAATATCGATAAAGATGGATTGACCATGCCTCGTCAGTACTAGATATTATCAGCAAAGGCGCATTTGAAAAACACAAGCCTGATTACAACGGCCTTTTAATTTGCTTACCTGAAAAAGAATCGGCTCTTTTTTTATTAATGCTTGTTCCCTTCCAGAAATGCAAAGTGGGATCAAAAGTTCAAGAAATGAATCTATAAATCTTGTGCTAAAGCAAAATCATTTCAGAGTAAAAACCTCTTCGCAAAAACATTTCTCCCAGCATTTGGTGATCCTTACAAAGCTCTTTTAGAACCCATTCTTTGAAATCCCTTCATCCCAGGGTTTGCTTTTCAGCTCGTTTAAACAGAAAAACTGACGACCCTTATGTAGACTTCCAAAATTTGAGAACAAATAAAAGTTTGATGGTGGGAACTGAAATGAATATGTTGAATGGGGAAGGACAATAGTTTCAATTTCAGCTGGGAATTAGGCAGTCAAAAGCAGTAGCAGTTTTGAATAACTGCACTTACTGATCCAACTCTTAAATTCAAGAATAAAAATGCTCTTGATGTAAAAAAACATCTCGTCTGCAACCTTGTCTTTATTGTTATCTTTGCAGAATTTCTTGACTTGGATGTTGCTGCAGTAGTTTCTTTCGTCGCAGTTTGTAGACTTACTTTAAATATTTGACCGTATCCTAAAACCCCTTGCCGATTTGCCAAATAACCTTTTTCACATTTTGCCTACCATAAAATATTTGGCTGCGAATAGCCAGATGCATTGGGCAGATCAGGTGATAATTTTGAAGAAATGCTTTCAGCATCTGAAGACGAATTACCTGAAAGCTTACTGGGCTATGGGAGTAACTTCTTAAATGGATTAATGATTTTCAAATTATAGTTTATCAATAAAAGAAAAAAAAATTGCGTCTTTTGTATTTATACTGGATTTTAATAATTTCTGTTTCAGAATGAATGTAAGAAACTCTAAGCGATTCCTTCTCCCCATTTCTCAGTTTTTTATATGGGTTGACATCATTATTTACATTGATAAAATGGGCGAACATAGAAAAGCTCATAGCACATATGTTTGGCTAAAAGAAAATGCTTTTCTAATGCAACAACAAAAAACTTCAATCGAAATTATCCATCTGCTAATATGTATGGACAAATAAAAATTCCAAATGCATTATTGCTTTTTATTGAATTAAAATATACAAACTTGGATCAAAGGTTAATAACAGTATCTCAAGCCAATTCTAGCAGGATATATGATGATATCATTCCATATTATTATTTAGATTACCCTTATTATGTTGAAAGTATTCCAAAGTATAGTAGCAGTAAATGTGCAATATTTTCAGGTATAAAAAAAAGTTAAGTAATGTAAATGAAATTTTTATTCGCTATTTAAATTAGTAATTTTGTTAGCATAAATTTAGGTATTTTGCATAATGAAACTCGAAAGGCTTACGAAACGAACGTGCGCCAAGGTATATATTGGCGAGAGAAAGTAAAGCTCGTGTGCAATGCAGTATATTTAATTTTCACCCTAGCTACTTGTACCTGGCCAAAGGTCTAATCCAATAGTAATTTCTTCTCGTTCAGGTACTATGGCAAAGTATATTCCTGTTTATTTCTTATTGCCTCGTATAGGTAAGCCTGGTGATTTAGGACTGATGATGATACTATGTAAGTTATTCTTTTGAATACTTCAATTTTAATGTCTGTGAAGATTATTACTTTATTGTTATGCTTAAGTTAAGCAGAATTATCCTATTTTATTAAAATAAAGATTTCTTAGTTAATCTTTTGACTTATGATTCTTTAATTCTGTGCTTGAGGAAACGTACTCATTACGCCTTCAGTGCTAATGCACAACCAACAAATTTAAACATATCTGCTGTACGAAACCATATGTTTTAATAGTTAAAATATAGTATATTATGTTTCTACGTGTAAGTTTCTAATGCCTCTTCCTATAAATCGTAATTTAGTCATAAAAAATTTTAGTACTGAAATTTTAAAACATAATTACAGCAATTATAATTTTATAAAATTGAATTAATACAACATTTTTATTTTGAGAATTTTTAATTGGAATATTCTAATACAAAATTCAAGGTCCAGTTTTTTTAAATGCTTATAGATATTTTATTAAATCCATTTCAGAAGTGAATTCACCTTGATTTTGTAAATTATTCTAGTGATTTGATCATAAACGTTCTTTCATGATAGTTATTGTACCTGTTAGTATCCTGGCTAATTATTAATAGTAAAGGTTATAGGACATTGTAATTACATGTAATTTGCTAATTTTGCTAAATGTATTAGTAGACTTGTTGTCTGATATTGTGAAATATATATATGACATAAAAGGTTTAAAACACACTTGGCATACACTGTAAAATGATATTTGCTGCCTTTTCTTTGTGAAGAGAGGGGAAAAAATAAATCCCGAAATTAGGTGTTTTTATTTTAATTACTCCAATTTCGTGTCCTGGCAAAGCAATAATATTTGCCACTTGCTTGCTGGTACTATATGTTGCAAGCCTCATGTAAAAGTTATTCAGTGGAAAAAGTGAACAACTGTATCTTAAATAATTAAGCATATTTTTTCTTATCCTCAAAATGACAACCTCAAAGTGACATTAATTCAAACTGGGCAATATCACAGAAGATTTTCCCTATTGTTTAATGTTTCAGTTTCTTGGAAGCACTGCATTGCACCTTGAATACAAAGTTCAAATTGTAACTTTTCTTACGAAAGTTATAAATAACATTAATTTATTAGATAAATTCATAAAAGTGTGCTTTGGCTCTTTCGATGATTTCAGAAACTGTTCCTTATTATTCTGCTATTTTAAGAAGCCGTATACTTCTAAATTACACATTTTTAAAGATAAAAATAATAAATCTGCTAAGTAAAAATAATACTTTAAAACTATCAGAATTGTGGGAAAGTGATTAGTTACGATTTCATAAACGCTTCATTATTAGTATGATACTATAACTTCAGTGCAGACTTAATCACGGAGCACATAGAAAAACCTCCAAATCATTTTGCAGCCATTCCGTTCGAAAAATCCAAATCTGAAAAATGTCATCGTTCAGCACTCGTATCCACTCGGGAGCTAATTGAATCTTCTAGACCATTTTAGTAATCTAATTGAATGCATCGAAACCAGTCTATACATTACAGACAAAATTATCTAATAAGAGCAATGTTTACTCACAGAATAATGAAGTGTTATATTATTTAATAAACTTCTAAATTATGTTTGTTGCAGTGTTAAAATTTCTCGATTCTGATTAATATTTTTTTTACATTTTAGAATCAACGTCAGTTGCAGAATCCCTTGCAGTTATAGTTGTCACTATCATATGTTCTCTTGTTCTACTTTTTACTTCTGCTTACCTCAGAGGATCTAAAATTACAACGCATATGCGGAGAATGTCTCGTTGCAGGCGCTCCGGTTGCGAAGCAAGGAATGGATCAGTTCTAGAAAATGAGGCTTCAAATGGAAATGCCAACACTCCACAAGATTCTCCAACTGGAATTAGAGATTGTTTCGGATCAACTAGAAGATTATTAGACAATTTGGAGAGCAATAGCTATCCATATCCATCCTATGATGATCCACCTCCTCCTTATGAAGCAGTTCGGACGCTAGAGATTGTTCCTACGTCTTGCTCTGTTATCATAGCACGTACTCCAGACGCTGATACCAGTGTTTCTTGATAATTATTTAAAAATAATTCTTAAGTTATATTTACATATTTTAAAAGGTGAGCTTTCGTATTATGTTGCAAAATAGGTATCTTGTTGCTATCATCTATCATGACACTCAACAAGCAGCATCTGAAAACACCATTTCTGTGGCTGTTAATAGCGATATTTCACATTTTCCTCCATCATTTGTTCAATTTCACCGTTGATGTCTTCATTAAGAGCCACGTATTTGCAATGTTTAAACTTTGTGTTGCTATTCAAAGAAATATTAACCTTTATAATCGACTCTTTTCTCTATATAATTCTAAAATTGTTTTGAATATGTAATTATCTCTTATAAATACCTTAGAATTATGAATGATAAATGATTGTTTATTCAGCTGTAAATTGGTATCTCCAGTCCATTTCCATTTTAAGTATTTATACTAAAAGAATGGAAACTCATCTTAAAATACATATTCATTCAAGTGCAATTCTATATACTCTTGAGTTTAATCAGGAAGTTTCATAAACGCGTGGACTTGTTTACAGAAAAGTAATATTTCTCGGGAACACGAAACAGACAAATCTTCTCCGAAAAATAAAAGTAATGACTAATGCTTCTAATAAAGGCGTTTAGAAAGAGACCAGGAGGAAGATATACAAGCAAATGTTTTAGAAATTTAGGGTAAGGTATCTTTATGCATCGAGAGATACTCTAGTGTTTCAAATTTTGTTTGCATTTTCTTTTATATTTGTTAACATATTGTTTCTTCCTATAAATATTGCGGCATATTTTCCCTTACCCAGCAACAGGCAATACTGGGTGGACCTTTTTTTTCCTTCACTTTCTTTTCTAGTTTATATATGGCTGAGAATGACAATATAACTAGAAATTCTGCTTTTGCAGTCAAAAACCTTTCTTCTCAAAACATGGAAACCCAGAGGAAATCAATCGAAGAAGCTGAAATGAATCCATCATCGAGTGAGTTAGAAATGACCTTTACTCTAGTTCAGTGATGGCGAACCTATGGCACTCGTGCCACAGTCGGCACGCAGAGCCTCATCAGCCGGCACGCAGCTAAAATATTACTTCTTTAATCAATAATCACAATAAAATGATACTATGTAATTTAAATAAGTGTTTTGGTTTGTTCTTGAACGTTCACCCCTACATTTCTATGTAACATAAGGTCACATTACCTGATAAGTGAACACATGTAATAAATAACCAGCATTCAGTTGCTAAAGTATCAACAATGTAATATATCATAGTATTGTTGCGTGCGTACGGGTTCGTTATGAAATGAATGCACAAATCCGATGAAAAATGAACAAAAATTTATTATCACAACAGAAATGCTTACATTTTCTCAAATTATCATGCAGTATCACAATATCTCACAGTAGTTATCTTTTAACTACTTAAATGTACAATAGAACGTAATTCAAAACAGCTAAAGAACGCTAATCCGCGAATTCGCTATAATCAACAACGGCAGTTTTCTAAACAACAACAAACTAAGCAACTACTACAACTACTACAAACTGAGATGTTTTCCTCCTTTTATAAGATTTTAAAATCACGCGCTAGAATTTTCCAGTACTTTCTCGAAATCAAAAAGAGATATTTATTTATTTAATGCACGCGCTCTTGTATTTTCAATTTTCCGGCTTAGCTTTCTTTTAATATTCGTCACGCGCTGCACTGCGCGAGAAATAAAACCATTTAATTTATAATTGAACTAACATTTAGCTTTTTAAATACCAAATTCGTAACAGTATGTAATTCATGTAAACTAATTATTGTGAAAACACACGTAATTGCATACAATGAACTGACAAAAATAAGTTGGTAATGTATCAGCAAATGTATGCAGATATAATCTAAAAGTACATAGTACGCATAAGTATGGGGATGAAGCTATTTTTTTTCTTTTGTTTTCAGACTTATTTATTTATGTCTTTTTTATTATTTTATATTCTTTTCTATTTTTGACTGCTGTTTGTAAAAAAAAAAAAAATTATGTAAACAAGTCATGATTGTAGGCATGATCTATATACTAGAAATAAGTTGCTTCTAGCCACCTCAATTTATAGTGTCATGATCTATTTTTACATGCAAATAACAATGTACTGCTAGACAATAATGTAATTTCTGAAAATCAATTAACACAAAAACACACATTACAGCACATAATGAATCGTCAAAATTGAGCTGTTAAAGTTTCAGCACAACTTTACAACAGTACTTAAATGTAAGCTTTGTAAACAATTTTATAGTTCTTAATTAATTCTGATAGTAAACAGATCATGTTTACAAAAATGATTTGTAACGTGGGAACATCCCGCTGTTTTTAATGCAATATATAATGTCTTGAAACATGTTGCTTGTACCCACTACAATAGATAACATCTTCAAAAGATGCACCTGCACAACTATGTATATCATGTAATTTAATCCCTTTTAATTGAGCTAATTTAACGCTGAAAGGTAGGAGTACCGTTGATGCCGCCGCCGGTGGCAGTACTTATAGTGCTCACTGGAGTCACAATTTCCATCACGACTCGAGGAATGATGCCAGAAAGTTGTTAGTTTTCTAGTCAGTGTTTGGGGCTAATACCTGCTTACTTAGGGTAAATATTACGTGACACCCTCACTTCTACATAACATAACGTTTCACTTACTTACTTATCGCATAATGCCACTGGCATAGGGCCTAAGCCTAGATATAAGATTTTCATATATCGCCATGGAAATGATATACATATTTATTGACCCAATTTATAATGTTTCAATTGTTTGACCCAATCATATTACTTGTTACATGGCAAAGAATATGCCAAAGTTGAAACAGCTAATGTTGCTAAAGGAATTCAAATTTATTGCAAACTGCCGCTGAGTTTAATACTTTCATTTGTTAAATAGATTTTCTATACTCCAGGTCTTGAACCCTCACAAATGACTCCAGCAAAAAAGACAAAATTAAAAATTGATAATGGATGATCATTTCGAGAGACTTCGACAGTATCATTTGGAGTTATTGAGCACAATAGGAAAGCATTATGCATTCTGTGCGGGAAAGGTTTGTGTGTCGTACATCTAATGTCAAACGACACTTTAACACCAACCACAAGATTGTTGCCGAATTTGATGAAGCTGAGCGGAAGGTGTTTATTGAAGGAAAATTGGGGAATTATAATTACCAGAAAGGTGGTCTTTGCAATTATCTTTCTAAAATAAACCATCTAACAACGGACAGATTTTAAATTTCTCTGTGCCTGGCAAAGCAGGGTAAACCGCTCTCCGATGGGGATTTTATCAAAGAGGTTTGCGGCACACGGAGCCTCAAAAAAAAAAAAAAAAAAAAAAAAAAAAAAGGTTAGGGGCACGCGGAGCGGCCAAAAAAAAAATGGTTTGGAGAGCGCGGCTCCAAAAAAGGTTCGCCACCACTGCTCTAGTTACTCAAGGAACATCTAGAGAAGGACAGAAAGCTATTAAAAGCATAACTGCCTCTCTAGACAAAATCAAAATTATAAAGAGAGAACATGGAAACAGCCCCCCATATTATATATGAGTGTGATGTCCTTGCCCTCTCTTGTTTGGCTATTTTAGGTATTCTTAACACTAAAGAGTTACTTCTTTTGACACAAAATGCTGTTTAGCAGGGGTGCCTGATACCTGACAAACTCAGTCTGAAGAAAAAGAAACAAAATGAATATTTTTTGGATTAGAGGAGTTTTTAAAATCTTGATAGCATTTATAAGTTATTTGCTTCATTAAAATTACGTCAAACTAATTCGGTCTTGATATATTTCTGTTGCAGTAAAATGTTTTTGTATGCTAGCAATTTCCCTCTAAAAAAATTATCAAGCACATTAAATTATTGAAGAAATGACTTGTGTTTCCTTAACATGAATTTTTGAATAATAACGATTTGTTGAATAGTGTTGTCACGTATCTCACTCGAACAATCGGTTCTCCAAAATTTCGCATTATTCTTCTAAATCATGTGTATGAAAGACTCATATAAAATTGTTCATGAGCTTTCCTATAAGCCACTTCCAACCTCTTCTATACTTTAAATAATGGCTAAATTATTGTACCTACACAATAACTAATAAGAAGTATATTCCATGAAAAATTTCAGAATTTGTTAAAACATACTATTTAGAGAGAAATTACAAAACAAATTATATAGCATGTACCCATTTATGACAAAAACAGCTCTTAGTGAGTCTTATAAAACGTCTTGCTGTGCACTGAATATCAGCAATTCTTTTGCTTCGTTCAACTACTGTATGATTTCGCAGTTATGTGATAGACAATGAGCAAAAAATTTGTAAGGGCTCCAACTAGACAACTTACAAATTCTTTGCAATGAGGCTCCAACTATAAATGTCAAACATGCAATGAAGAAATGTGCTAAACCTCTACCACAGGGACCGGTAATCTTCGATTGCGGGTGTCAAACATGATACCTGGAACGATTTTTAAAGGCACGTTAAGTAAATTGAAATACAATTAGGAAGATCTTAGAAATTTTTTTTTAATTTTTCATTAAATGTAAGCATTTTTTAAAGCATCCCTATTTTCCCATCTCTTCAAAACGAAAGATATTAAGTACTGGAGTGATATGTTATGAAGCCCAGAGTTAGTAAACATCGTAGATTTATAAAAAATGAAGATTTCTTCCCATCTTAACAAGCAGTAACAATTTGCTGTCTGAAGAAAGCTGCATTTTCTGCGCTTTCGACTTTAGGATAAACTTATACATGAAAACAAATTTTCTCAGATATAAAAGCTGAAATTCCGTTAAGAAGTTGTGTAATTCTGTGCAAAAACCTTGTGAATCCGAAAGTGATTACTAGTTGATACTGAAACGTTAAGATAAGGTCCTCATTAATTTATAAAAGGCTCAGATCGATAAGGGCCCACCAGCGGCCGAGCGGTAAAGTCGCTGAACACTGGTAGTTCGGTCCGAGGTTCGAATCCCGTGAACGGGCTGGCTGATTGGGCGTTTTCGTGGTTTTCTCCATGTGTAATGTGTATACGAGCCAGTTTCCCTTAGAAAGTCCTCCACGAAGGCATCCTTTCCCTTAGGCAGATAGCCCTCCAGGCTTTGCCCTAATCACACACATGCGCACACACAGATCGATAAAGATATATGATTAGTTGCATTAAAATTTTAATAACGTGTTTTAAGTTTTACTTATTTAATTATTTTGTTCTTCATGCTGTTGGACTTTTAATAGCATTGGACTTCATATACAAAATTTCATAATAAAAGCACTGAATTCACACTTTTCAAAATACAATTTCTGTATCCATTACTATATATTTTGAATATTTGATAAACAAATAACAGAATAAATATT